AGGAAGGAAGTATCATCAAACTCCAACCAAATTGATGAACGAAGAACAACAAACGCGATCACAACAAGTAGGTATTCTAGCCGTACACCAACCGTCGGAGTTCAATAACATTTTCTTCCTCAAAAAGTTGGATATGTGCCTGAGAAAATGGAAGATTGGGATGAGAAAGACATCAAACGGATGGGAAAAGAAGATTTTTAGGGTTGAAATTAGGGATGCTTTATTGGGTTTTAAAGAAATTTATGGAGCCGTGAAAGTAGTGTTTCACATATGGTGATTTTGATAAATGGATTATTTAGTTGAGTTGTAATTTTTTAATGGTTTAACTTGCCACGTGGGATTTCTCGTGTGATACATTAGCAACAAAGGGAACGAAATATGGTGGATGGAGTGTAACATCTCAAAAATAAGTGATCATTGGGAAGTATTTTGAAATTTGATGAGTAAATTGTGACCACGTATAAGTTGGATGAGTAATGAAATAATTGTTTAACCGAGTTGTAATTTTTTTAATTGCCATCATTTGCCACGTGAGATTTTCGTTAGTCAAGTCAGCAAATAAAGTAATGATTTTTTTAAGGATGATGGATAGAGTGCAAACAGGTAAGACTCAGTAAGCATTGTGAAGTACTTTGAAGTATATGGTATAAGTTGGATGATTATTGAAACAATTCACTCAAGCAAAGAGCAACCACATATAAAAGTTGATGACTTATTTAATTCTCAAGATTTAACAATAATTATTGTCCTTTAGAATTTCCATATGTAATGTGGATTTTTTTTTTTAATTTTTTGTTCAAGTGAATGAACGAAATTGAAATAGATGATGAATGGATAAGTTATGAAAAAATGAGTAGGCAATTAGTAATCTTTTTATTTTTAAGTAATCATAGTAACCAAGTGTAAACATTGATGATTATTTATTTAATTAAGTGCATAGTAATAAAAATCAGACCTAACCGATCGATTTAGCTCGAGAACCAAACAATGATAGGGTCCGATTGACAATAATTGGTCTAATTACAAATGAACATATCAAGAACCACTCAAACCAATTCTTTTCAGTGAAAATCGGAACCGATTCATATTGAACCGATTTTTTATCAAATTGGTCCAGACTCTAGAATCAATTTTGCGTGAGGAGAGATTCAAACCCCCACTTCATTGCATGAAAGGTTATAGCCATGACCATTATGGACCAATAAAATCCCTATTTTTATTGTGAGTTAAAATATATATAGCCCATTTGGTAAAGATTAAAATCCAATTAAAATTGAAAATATAGTCGTTATTGGGTCTCATTCGTCTAATAAAAATCAATAATAACGGTTAATTTTTCAATTTTAATCTGATTTTAATCTCTACTGAACACACCACATAATTGCTTTTAGTAGTGATATAAAATAAAATATATAATATATTTTTACTTTAAAAATATTAAAAATAAGATAAGCAATGACATATCCGTCAAACCACTAATCTAGTAATTTGATGATTTTTTCGAGTCTCGGGTCGGGATTGATTAAGGGTCTGTTTTGACTGGATTAAAATCTGAATCAAAGTCAAACAATCAATATTAACCACTTCTTTCGTCGTCACACATTTTTTCAACAACACATTTCAAAAACTTCTATGACAATGTACAAAAATTTAATTTTAATCCCCATCAAACACACTGAAAGTGACTTGTTTATAATAAACCATTACAAGTGACAACAACTTTAATCTCAATAAATTAAATAAATAATTTCGTGTTGCATGGTTGAATGTTGAGTTGGAAGCAGGCCAAAGAGAGAATAGACATCGAATGAAACAAAACTCAGAAAACTTAACAAACATCGAAAAATCAACCAAAACCACATGAAAAAACAAGGCGGAAATGCCCAAGTCTTCTTCAATTCAGAAATGCGGCCATTTGGCTTTAATTGCCACTCCCCATTGCCCATCAATTTCTTCATTTTTTTAGCCATAAATCCTTCACAAAACTTCTGTTCATTTTCAGTTGTTATTATTCCTCCTCTGCAGATGTATCCCGCCAAACTAAACTACTGATATCATCTTGCTTACTGCTTTATCAACCATTTAATGGGTAATTCTTCTCTTTTCTTACTGGCATTTTTTTAGTGTTGCTTGTGTGCTTTATCTTGTTCCTCGTCCATAGCAATGAATTGAACGGAGCGGAGAAAAAGAATATACGCATTACCCAATCAACCCAATTTTATGACGAACATGGGTCAGTAGTTGTGGATTATTCTATTGATTACATGGTTTTTGTGTTTTAAGTTTTTGCAGCTGATTTTTCTTTTCACTCTTTACCAAATTTCGATAAACCCTTTTGATCATTCTGCCGCGTTGAAATTCTCTAGCATTTTGATACATTCATTAACCCTTGTTGGCTTTCGAGCTTAATTTTTCTTTTGGGTTTTTAATTGTTTGACTATTGATGGTCTTTGCTTAATGATTTAGTTTCTTTCTAAAAGTTTTAAATTATTTAGATCCATACGTGCAGAATTACACAATTAAAAGCAACAATTATTTCTAGATGGTTAGTTAAACAAGTTAATTTATCATAAGTTTGAATACCACAATTAATAATTAAAGCAGTAAAGAACATCAAAGATGATTACGGAGAAACTCCAACTAGGTAAAAACTCCGAACATTTTATCAGTTAATAATCTATTATAAATCGAAATAAACTTACAGTACAGTCCAGACCTTTCTACCCCGTAGAACTTTAGACCTCAATTCCTGCAATCTCCCTTGATCCTACTAGAGGTGTTCCCCTTCAAAATACACCCCGACTTCTGGTTTATACCTTAGCCCTCCGGACTGCGTGCTCCTGACGTCAGATCCCGACTCATGTTATCTCACCTTAGTCCTCCTTAATTTGTGATTCTGCAATAGCTCTCGATCCCTGGTATTGATTTATCTAAGATGGATTAGGTGGTTTAGTGTTTGATCAATAGATCTTATGTGTTTTGATTTATGGTTTAATATGAAACAATCTGACTAGATCAACAAATCAAAGTTTGGATGAATTTATGGCTCAAATGATATGATAGTTGAATATTTGAATCAATGAATGTGTTTTGGATCTTCAAGTGAATGATTTCTCTAAAAAATATGATTCAGCACATTTTGGAAACGTTCATAAGATAGGATGTGTGTATATATATATATATATATAGAGAGAGAGAGAGAGAGAGAGAGGAGTGTTAGTGCTAGGCGGGCAACAACGATTCTGCTTGGCTGGGTAACAGACTAGCGAAATTGCGTCCGTCTCGATTTCAACTTCTTCAAGTCCGAATCTTAATCTTCTTCTTGAATTTCTTTGACTTCTTTTTGGACTCTATCAACTCTATACTAATTTTACCATAATTTGGATTTTTCTAATCCTAATTGACTTTGATTACAAAATAATCAAATCCTAATAAATTCAATTAGAACTTGATTTTAACTCAGAAATTGCCAATTACAAATTTAGAAATTGTCAATTATATAATTTGGACACTTTCTTTTCACGTTAATGTAATCAATTGCAAAACTTTTGTTGATTAATCGTATTTGAAAATGGGATTTATGTAAGCTAGATATGTTATTTTTCAGATATGAAAATACAATATAAAGATCTTGGATTATCATGTTAATTACAATCAATTGTGCAGAATGTAAAATAATATCGGCATACCTGAATCCATCAATTGAATCATTTGTTCTCTAGAGAACAGGATCACCCTACCAACTTTACCTCAAGAGTGTCCCACGATAAATTAAGGCACAGAAAATATCGTAGGTGTAAGCCCTAGAGTCTCTCATTCCTTTTAACAGCATCCCACCATCAAGGAAACTAATTAAAAAAAAAAGGATGGATTTTATAAAAATTCGTGATTTGAGATTTTATCTACAAGTTTAATATTCTACTAAATAGAAATAATTCATAATCATCCGGTTAGGATCAATCTAAACCAGCCCATTACGTATATGATTCAACATGCCAACTATTAAACAACTTATTAGAAATACAAGATAGCCAATTCGAAATGTCACGAAATCCCCCGCTCTTCGGGGATGTCCTTAGCGTCGAGAAACATGTACTAGGTTGTATGTGCGACTCGTTTAGATCATGAACTAGCACAAAAAAAAAAAAAAAAGCAAGAAAACCGGTTTTTAACCCAATGCTAATTCATTAATTAGATTAGTAATAACCCATTATCTTTTAGGTGTCGTAGGGTGTGTGAGACATTAAATAGAATATTAGTTTTAATAATATTATTACAAAATGTTTATTGCAGTGTGCATGTATGCTTTCGCTGTGAAATGTTGGAATATTATTATTGCTTCACCATCAAAATTACATGTTGACCTATCAACAGATTACCCTGTTGTTGATTTGCTAAAAAGAGTACCCTGTTGATAATTTGCTAACAGACTGAAACGTAGAAACTAAAATGATATATGAATCTAGAAAATAGAATTCAAGATCTATTATAATGAAATGGGGTAGAAATAACTTGAGCAAGAGCAAAATCTTATCATTTCTGCCAGTTCTTTCTTTTTTGCACAAATAGGCATATGATGTTGCTTATTTCTTGGAGTAAAAAAGGCATGGTTCGTATCTCGGTTATGGTGATTTCTGATATTCCTATGGGCCTTTCCCTTTTGTCTTTCGTTATCTGCTTGAGTTAGTTCGCAGCATCAGCAGGTTCGGATTATCACCAAATTTATGAATGTATTATGAAGAAGAAACATAAGGTACCCAATCTATTTGAGGTGCATGCAAACTCATAAAACCATAAGCACAGAAGCATATCCTAGTGTGAGAGGAGTTTTATTCTAATAACAAAAACAAAACAACTGGATTTCAAAAATGGAGTTTATAATCTTAAAACATTTTGAACTCACCTTAATTGGTATATGACTTTCATGTATAATTACAGTGATCATGACAAGTTCCCAGCAAGATCATCCTGTGTTCTGATTCTAGAAAGAGAGACAAATAATGGTTCAGAAAGCTGATTTAGTTATTATTGGCCTCTCAGTTGGTTTGGCTGTTGGCATACTTGTAGCATCTCTTGTATTTTTTGCCATTTATCGGCACAAGAAACGTGCTCATCTATGCTCTGTAGCTACCCTTCCGTTACAAACTAATGGATCAGGTACAATCGTTGAGTCCAGTGCATCTCTCCCGAATTTTGTAACTGTTAAGGAATCAGAGTATCTTGCCAAGAAGCCTCGACGCTCCTGGTGGAATAATCTTCGAAAAGATCAATATGTTTCAACATCTGGAATACCAAGATACTCTTACAAGTACGTAACCCAGTTTTGCAATAATATTTGTTCTCTGTACTCAAACATTTGCCTCAGTTCCAAGCATATTTTCCAGAGACATTCAGAAGGCGACACAGAACTTCACTACTGTTCTGGGACAAGGTTCATTTGGCCCAGTGTATAAAGCTACGGTGCCTGCTGGTGAAGTGGTTGCAGTAAAAGTTCTTGACTCTGGTTCTAAACAAGGGGAAAAGGAGTTCCATACAGAGGTAACGGATACAGTCATCAATTATTTGTTTGAAGAATGATATTTGGGAAAAATACAAATTATCCCCTTCAACGGTTGCCCTGTTTTGCAGTAAGCTTTGGTATTTTAGTCATGTTACCTAACTCCTCGATTTTCTAGATATATACAATCATCCCATTCTGTTGATTAGTTGTCCTAGTCAACCAAGTGTGCCAATTGAAAAGATAATGCTTCCCCTAGCAGGGTTACCAAGAACATCCCTAAAGCTTAAAATCCCTATAAACCACTGTAGTTGCCCATTTGTTAAAGGATGTTGACAAGCAAATTAGGTCAGCAGTCTATTGTGCACCTTTTTTTTTTTTTTTCGCATCTTACGGTGGTTGTTTCCGGAATCGACATTGTATGTTACCTATTATGTATGGCCTTATTTTTTGTTTTGTAGGTTTCTCTGCTGGCTAGGCTGCATCATCGGAACTTGGTGAATTTAGTTGGATATTGCATCGATAAAGGACAACACATGTTAGTTTACGAATACATGAGCAATGGAAGCTTGGAGAACCTTTTATATAGTAAGTTTAGAGTTTGTAAACTCATTTTCCATTGATTTTAAAAACCTCTCTTCATCGTGATAACTAGTTGAAATTAAATTTGTATCCATCATCTTGCATTTCCTATTTCCGTGACAATTTAAAGGGGAAAAAAAAAAGAATTGAAAGTTTAACATATTTATAAATAATTGAAAATTTTAACTGAAATTATTCGACTCCTGCATTAGATTGAATTTGATGTTACTCAAGTCAGTTTCTTAAGTATATTGCAAACGTAACCTGCTGTCCTACTTGAGGCGCAAAAATATCCAAAAGATTATGTGGGATTTTTCTTTTCTGTTCTTCTTTTGGTTTGCCTCGTACCAGTGCTCGTAGTTTGTTGATTGATTTTCAATCATTGCATGTATCCATATAGGTCAAGTGAAAACTTTGATGAGACTTTGAAATGAATTTTATTAACTGGAGTTAGATTGTTACTGAACTCACAAATTCATCACAAGACATCTTCTCAAGCGTTCTTTCTGTGAATTTCCTTGCTTTTGTTTCTCTGGATATATTAACTTCTTTTGCTGTACATTTAGATAAAAAGTTGCAAATTTTGAGTTGGGAAGAACGACTGCAGATAGCACTAGACATCTCATATGGGATTGCTTATCTTCATGATGGGGTAGGCTGAATGATGTATTATAAGTAAAAGTAACTACTTGCTCATGTAAGTGAATATATGATGATTATTTACTGTATTCCTTGTAATAGGCTGTCCCTCCTGTGATACATCGAGATTTGAAGTCAGCGAATATATTGCTGGATCATTCTATGAGAGCCAAGGTAAACCATCACATTGCCCATTGCTTTGACGCCTTTAGAGCATGTTTGATACACAAAACTGGATAAGACTAGACAATATTAAAAACTAAGATTTTATTTTATTTTTCTTACTTGATGGCGTTAAGAACTATCTTATTCCTCACTACCCAACATGTTATAACATTTGACGAATGTAGCAATTTGTGATAAACTGAAAACATACTGCAGTCATCAGTTGGCATGAAGAATAGGCGTTTCTTCTATAATTCGTGCATATTCATTTTTCTTTTTCTTGGTGATTTAGGTTTGCATATGTTCCCAATGTTGATTATTTGTCTTGCTTGCTATGTAACTAGGTTGCTGATTTTGGTTTGTCGAAGGAAGAGGTTCTTGACAGCCACTACTCGGGCCTTAAAGGTACATATGGGTACATAGATCCTGTGTATATATCTACAAACAAGTTCACAGCAAAGAGTGATGTCTACAGCTTCGGTGTTATCCTTTTTGAACTCATCACAGGAATCCACCCAAACCAAAATTTAATGGAATATGTCAATCTTGTAAGGCTTATGCTCTATGAAATTCAATGGAATGTTATCTCGTTTTCTCCGTCAGGCAATCATGAGCTTTATTGTTCTGATTTTTTCATTTTCAAATTCAACTTTCTAAGGCAACTTTGAGTCCAGATGGCGTGGAAGAAATACTCGACACAAGGCTTATTGGTACATGCAACCCGGAAGAAGTCAGGAATTTAGCCCGAATTGCTCACCAGTGCTTGCACAAAACGCCCAGAAAACGCCCTTCAGTAGGAGTAGTTTCGCAGGCTATTTTAAAGATAAAAGAGAGGCGCCTTATTAAAGAAAGTAATATGTCTTTTGCTGAAGATTTTTCGGGAGCCATGAGCCGGATAGAATTTCAAGAACTGGAATTGAAAAGATTGGCAAGAATCGATGAACGGCTAAACGTATGATAGCACTCATGCTGCTAGGGAGATGCTCAAGAATTCTGGTGCAGATTTGAGACTGAGAAATATATGAGCGATTGATTAGCTTCCATAAAATTTTAGTATTCGAGATTCTAAAATTCAATGCAAGCCTGTGGTTGGACCCTGAAGTATATGGTATTTTGTATCCTTTTTTTCCTTCTTGAGTTGAGAACCAAATATGTATAATGGTTCCACTTGAAAATTGTCTGTCCAGTAGTAAGGTTAGTGTAGTATGATACCATAAGTTCGTTCTTCGTTTTTAAGCATACGTTTAAATCTAAAAAATATCCATCTGATGGATAATGAAAGTGGTTGGAGATTGAAGGTATTTTTCTTCTCTTTTCTTTGAAAAAAGAAATATTGTCTTGAAGCTAAGGAATTGTTTGTTACAATTCACTTGGTGTGCGGTGTAAGAGCATCTAATCTTTAAACATAAGATACGCTCTATTTTAAATAATCAACCCTTAAAATTATGTTCTAGAAATTCTTATATTAACATTTTAATTTAGAGAATGAGTTTCGCCCTTCAAATTTAGAGAACCAAACTCACTTTCTATAATTAAATCCATTCAAATTATTTCAATTTTCAAACTAGTGAAAATAAAAAATAAAGAAAAATAATAAATATTTTTTAGTCTCTAAATTTATAAATGCTCTCTAAATTGTAGAATATGTTTTTTTAAAAATAGGGAGCCTATTGGAAATGCTCTAAAATATGCTCTTTAAAAAAAGAGATTTTCTTGGATATGCTCTGATAGCCCAATAATAGTTAACCAAGAGATAGTGAATTGGTTTTTAAAACTTTTTCGAAAAATTAATTTAAAATCAAGCACGTAGTAATTAGATAAATTAATTCAAATAATAACCACGAATATGAAAATAATAAGTAAATAGTGATAGAGAATGTGAATGGTATAATTATGGAGGTTCGATCCAATGCAATGATCTACTTCCTCAATTACCAAGCTCTCGACATGAGTAAGGCCAATCAAACCCTTACAAAGTTTTCAATGACTTACAAGGTAGGCTTTTGCATGACCTTTTTACTTGATTTTTCAACGTAAGTAATACTAATAGGATTGAAAATTAACTTGAAATTCTTATCTTTCAAAAATATTTTTTTGTGCAAACGTTTTATGAAGTAAATTTTATAGTGCATAAAAATTCGTCACTTGAACTTTCAATGAGTCATTGCTAATGATTAAAGTATTTTACCTTTACAAATGAGATCAAACATATATATAGTTCTAATATTTTCGATTGATTTGGCGCGAGTGCTCGATTTAGAATGCTTGATTTCCAAGCTCGATTGTGAATGCTCTATTTCCATCTTGAGCTTTCTTGATCGTCACATTTACGTCATTTGGTAGCAATTGTTTTGTCTCCAATTTGATCAAGTTTACAACATGTAACATTGAAAGCTCAAATACAAATGTTAGAGATGAAAATATTATATTCGTTATAATCAAAACATAAGATCGATCATAGGTCAACCTGCTCCATGGCAATTATAACAGAGTTTAAATAATTAGAGATTGAGAGAGTTGAAAAAGAAAAGAAAAAACTACAAATTTAGAAGGATTTATTGTGTTGTATTATTATAAATATTGCTTTATTTTACTTTATTTCTAGCCAATGGATTAAAAAAAATTTCTTTCCTTTTATTATTCAGATATTATATTTTGTTACCCGAGAGCTAATCTTAAATTTTTTTTTAAAAAAAAAAATTCAATTTCACCAGCTGCGGCTTGAACGAGTAATGTTATTTATCATCATAATAATATAAAATTGATGATACGGCAACCAATTATCCTCATACAAGTTGAATTGTCAAATTCTATTATTTTATATAGGCTGTCATATTACTGATATTTTATCATCATAATAATAAATAACATTATCCGACCTAAATATGTCTGATTTGCTTTAAATAATTTATTTATTATTGTTTTTTAAGATCAATACTTACAAGTCGTCAACAAAGCAAATCATGCCCTGATTCCTAATTTATTCACAATCGTCGTCATCTTCTTGGCTAATTCAGCCCTCTATTAATTCCCACAATTTTATTTTTATCCATTATCCAGTGATTAATACTGGGGCAGAAGTTCAAGTTGCACAAGCAATGTCGACTCTGACTATAGATGGGATACGATCGCTCAAGGCTTGCCTTGATGAGAGCAAAAAAAAATATTTTTTATATATAATATTTATATATAAAAGGGAAAAATTTATGTTTTCTAAGTGTAAAAAATTGGTGACTTTTCAATTTTTTTTTTTTCTCATTTTTAGGCAGACTCTTCAATTTCCCTTTCTTTTTTCTTTGTGTTGTTTCTTTATTTGTTAGTTGACTTTAGTCATCGTCAATTCACCATTCTCAAAGTCAACCCTTTGCAAAATTTTTTAGCTTAATTTACGAGCAATACTATGTGTACAAAATTGGATTACAAAATGGTTGACAAAATATGTGTTGGCAAGATCTGGCCAATGACTCGATGTTTTATCTTTTTGGTGCAACTAATCAATTATAATAAGTACGCAAGGCTAATTTGACTCGTAAAATTAGCTTTCGTCCAAATGGAATGAAAATATTGTAGATCATATATTAATTCTTTTTTATACATATAATTCATGATATTTTACATGT